ACCCGCCCCCCCCCCCCCACCCCAATACACCAAAAGCAGAATGGCAATTTGTGAATTTATTTGCTTAATTCATGAAGAGTGAAATAATAACACTAAATTTTAAATTATGTACTAGTTATTGCTATCAAGGACACCATTAAAAACATAGAATTGAATAGCCATGGCTATGACATCTACAAAATGACAATTTGTGTAAAGCATAAAATCACAAAAAAAAAAAAAGAAAAAAAAACATAACCTTTAGAAAATGAACGCAATCAAATTGTTTTTGTTCAATTGAAGCTGCATATTGGTTCTATGAAAATTTGGTTCTATTGAAAATTTGGGAATGTTAGCTAACACGATATTTCATTTATTTTGTTAATAACAAAATCGTATTGCAATATAATAAGTAGCACATATACCGTATATGATCATGTACTATTCATATTGTGGACATAAAAAAATTATGACTATCTCAAGGATTACTACCCATGAGAATCCAAACACACATCTAAAGATTGTCAATTGTAATATCAAAACTTTTAAAGGATTAACATGCCTTTGGGGTAAATATACAGGCTATCAAAAATAGATGGAATCGATAAAAGGTAACATGTATCCCCCAACGTTGAAGAACGCAAAATCCTTTCCCTTTGGCCTTTACTTTCGTGCTTTCTCAAGTTCAAACCTTGTTTTTGAAGACTGCGTCCAAATTTGTCCACGCATTTCATTAAAAATGATGAAGCTTCAATGCAGTCCCGCCCAATGTGTAACTGTTCACACACTAAATCTTTTGATAAAATCTTTGTAACGCTCACTTTTTACCGTCATCGGCTTTGTTCAAAGCAACATGCATTATTCGACAAGGAGCAAAAAAATCAATACCTCGAGCGTAATACGTCATACTTTCGTTTTGCTATTTTTTCTGTGCCTGGGCATTGACATTTGAAACATTTGACATGGAAGTGGAGTGGAAGTGAAACTCGTTTGTGTATTATCAACAAAGTCCTTTGTTCGGAGTGAATTTAGAAAAAAATGACTGTATGAGGATTAATTTTTACACTGTTGATTATCTTTAGTTCTACTGTCACTAATCCCCAATACATGCCTACAAATGTGCTCATTATTGATTGAAAAGATCGACTGGCTAATACCTCTCCCGTCGACCCGCGTATTGAAATAAAAGATATATACAAAAACAAATCCAATCGGGCTTTTTACGCCCAAAAAGGAGCATAAAAATAACTAAATTCATTATCTTATGTGGAAAAAATCCTAGGGTTCTTACAGTGCACGTGTCTAAATGGCCGCTAACCCAGTTTTACTGGCCTATGTCCTGGTGGCCCGGATTGAACTTAGCCTCAGGTGATAGTTGCTGAGGTCGTCCACATACAGCAATATTGATTTCTTCTCCGATGCCACCTAGGGGGCGCTTTGGGTTGTATAAATTAAAAACATCGAACCTTCAATTGAGATTTGAATTCGTTAAAAGATTTAGGGGTCAGTCAAGTTTCCATTACGCGTTTAGGTCTTCTGAGTTGAACATGATACTGCCCCGTGCACAGGTTAGGTAAACACCAAGAGACAGATGCATGGCGTTAAAATGTCTAAGGTTGCTTGCTTTAATCATGCTGAAGTTTCACTTCTCTAAAGGCAAGGGCATTTTGATAAATATTCCTCTGATTGGCGGTCGTTTCATTATACCACGTTACTATTCATAGCGTTGACCTCATTTTTGTAAGAAAGCAGGTAATCTCAGGTCAACCATAACGTCACGCGAACAATATATAACCAGATAGTGTAGATACCTTTAGATCAATAATGGACTTACGTAAGTTTTACTGGTATAAAGGGATTTAGACCGCGCCTTGTCAAATCTTGCCGGTGTAGAAGCGTCTTCCTCTTTAGATAGCCGGGATGCTATTTTGCAAAGGTTTCATGTCTGAAACCCTTTAATTTTTTTGCCTGACAAACGAAATCTTTCGTTCCAAAAAGAAGAAACATGCAGCACAAATAAATAGCTTAACGACCTTCACGTCGCACACGCACTAGTTAACGCGCTTACCGAAGGTTCAATGTACTTTCATTCTATCATATTGTAACACATGCAGATAAATAATTTATCCATAAAACTTATTGGTTCACTTTTTCCCCTACTAGCTGTGCCGTTGTTAGGCTACTTCTGTAGACTACTCGCCACACTCCTTTTGATGGGTATATCGACAATGAGATGTTTACATGTTCGGGTCACTCCAGGTCACGAGGCCTTAGTTCACCATCATGAATATTCTACGCTTTATAAACAGGCTGCGCTGGGTCGATAAACTGTTACCTGAGCGCACAGCAGGTTTCATAAATACACGGGTAAAGAATAAACTGATCAAACAATGATGGGCAACCTGAATTCACAAGAACTCGCACAAACAAGGCGAATTGAATAACCAGCGGATGTATGTGCGGTGAATCGACCTCACATTGCATGAGCTAATAGGCAAATGACGAAATACTTGGCTGATGATGCTTGGGTACAAAATCTATATGGCCATTATACTTAATGGAGATTGCGATTCATTTTTATAAAATATTTCAAGAAAATAATTGCAAGACAACAGCGATATTTGCATTAGTCGATAAGGAACTTAATTACTCAGTGCATATAGGTCTTTACTTATATTATAAAAAGTTACCAGACGAATCAATACGATATTTAGAAATCAATACAAAATGTTTAGGCGTCCCTCCGATTTTTGATACCACGAGTCTGCTCATTACATTTGGTAATATTAAACTACCTGCAAATTTGGAAGGGTGGTCGAAAACAGCATTTAAATTGTTGTTTACTAACTACTGAATTTCACAAAAGGCTAATTTAGCGTGATGTAACAAATGTGTCCACGCCATGCATGTTGTTTAACATGTTGTTAAATATTTTCATCAAAACAATCATAATTTTCTCCCGGTTACATCCTTTCTTTGCTCCTGGGCTCGAGCTCCAGTTAATCGCACACGATAGATTACAGCAGACGACCACTGGATGCTGAAATATTTACTCTGATATTTCCTGAGAGGTTACGTCAGCTGATCCTTAAGACCAGCCTGCAGTATTGGCCAGGAATGATGTAATGGTAGGTCGGGCAAATAAACTAATGAAACGCCAATCTTACGAACTTAATTCTGGACGCCAGAGTCATATATGTACTGCAGTCGATCTACTTTATAACACTTTTGAGAAAACCAAAAATCGCGGTGAAGGATGGAAACATTTTATCAAAATATTTGTACGTAAAGGCAAATACAACACTGATAACACGATCCTTTCTCCTGAACATATAAATTGCAGCATATAGTTTAAGCTGGGTTATACGGATTTGTTGTGTAATATCATTTAGAACGTGAGATAACAATTTGGCCACTCTGACACGGTACTATACCGAAAATTATTCGGGCCAACAAAAAATATATTTTGTTACAATGTTAAAACTACATACAGTGCGAGTGGATATGAACAGTTTGATAATTTTTGTTAAAAGTTGTTGACATGAATTTACAAGATAACAGATGTTCACCAATAAACTCATGATAACGTGCTGCCGGTGTGTTAAATGTGTGTCAAGATTACCTAACATCTTGTTACTGAAAAAAAAAGGAAATTATCTTCAACTGTTTGACCATCTGCTGCTGTAAACATACCTTATAAGATCCCATATTGCATGAACAGTGGTTTCTTGGCTTAATCTATATAAATCCTTCAGCAGTTGTGACACTGTGACAATGTTCTGTCGTAGTTGTTTTCTGTCGATCGGACAAAATCCTTCTGAGCTAATTCAATTTGCTAAAGGGTACTTCAATCGAACTCTAAAGGCATTTCCGTGTCACAGGAGGATTGCGATTCTATTTACGTGCGTTACCTTAAATGAACCCACTTTAATGGCACTAGCGACTGGACTCACCTCATTTCACCTCTGTTATTTCACCTCACGAGGACATTGGCATTCCAGTTCAATCGCGCCCAGTTTTCTATGCTCTATCTGCGGCATCCCTGAAAACGTAGTTGGATAAGCTTCACAGAACCCAGTCTTATGTAACATTAGTATCTAATCTGACGTAACAGAATTGGACTAAAACCACACCTACCGCTCTGACGTCTATCGTTACCAAATGACCTTAGATAACACATATATGTGAATGCAACTATAACATCGACAACGCTTGACCCGACTTCATCAACAGAAGGCCTTACCCATATCTGTACTGCTTTAAATGGTTCCTGATCGAGTTTTAAGAATCTTTAGTGATCAATAAACATGACATACAACACAAAACTACGAACTGTTCGACTTAAATGCAATAACCATACTTACATAACACTTACATAATTAGTGGTGGACTGCAGCACATTTCTAGATTAAATAATGACCTCACTATTGCGCGCGCAGCGCACAAGCAAAAAAATTCAAGATGTCTACAACTAACCCAGTTTTTGGTGTATTCTTCCACCTGATGACGTGTGCGTACTGGTTTACCCGACAAGGTCACCGGCTTGGCCGCAATAAAACTACTGCTGCCTATGAGGTCATCGAGACGCAGAGATTTCCAATTTAACAGTAAACCAGGCCGGCAGAACTAACGGATGATTAATTGAGATAACTTCTTGGCAAGCGTGGTTATGACAGTGTTTTTCGGTCCACCTACATTCGCTCGATATTGCCCATGTTCTAAGGTCATGTTAAGGATACCAGCCGCCTGCTGCATTAATGATTGTGTTAGATACGACAGCTGTGAACTTTTATACTGGTTCATATAACATGATATAAAATTGTTCATCTTAGAATTTACGTTAAGGTCACAAGGGATTCAATTGCTGTCGAACCCACAGAACAGCTGAAACAACACGCCCCCTCTAACTTATCACAAATCTGCCACATATAATAAACGGTCAAAATTAGAACAATATCCAACAGACGTCTTTTATATGAATTTCATAATAATAAAATTAATCTTTCAGCAAATAAATGTATCTTCATGCACGTACGTAATAACATGTGCCCTGCGTTACGTTAGTGTTATATGATCAAAATATTTTGACCGGAAGTTTCTCCAAAATATATAAACCATTTTCATTGAAAACAAAACCAAAAAGAACGTTACTGCACTGATTAAATGATATTATAAAACCATGCGTTATACATGTCAATATATCATAATATAGTACGTTGCATAGCATAGGGCTTGATATTAAGTATGTTTATTTATTCATGATGGCTCTTCTTTGAGGTACTGGCAAGCGGTTTGACGGTTCTCAACGATGGCGATGTGACAGTATTTCCGCTCTCTTGTGTCAAACAATTCAAATCACAAAAACAAGCACAGTGATTCATTTTTCTCAGAATGGCATTCGTAGTACCAAAATACAACACATTCAATACATTTATTAATTTTATTTTATTTTCATTTTTTATACGACCTCTCAAAAAGTTCTGATAATTTTTGATTTGTTACATGTGTGAAATGTGGAACAGACATTGGCGGAAAATACTCTAAACAAACCAGTTAATATTCCTTTTTGATAATATATACACAGGGAAAAATCTACCAAAACATTTACTTTATTCAACGAATCGCTTTGTATGGAATATGGAAGAAAAAGCTTACTGTCCATTTTCCTAACATTCTCTTATCTGGCACCGCGGATGGCACTAGCATTTTTGTTGAAATTTGAAGGTCATGAAAAGTTATCTATGAATTAATAGAATATTTTTTTCTTAAATTATGAGTCTGATCAAGAAAAAAAAAACAGCAAAGTTTGAAAACTGCAACATTGGACCTCATGGGCAGTTAGCGGTGAATCAATATTACATCTAGATTCTAATTAGTGCGGGAGATCACGTGATGCAGTTTTGCACAAGCACAGCAATCTCTCAGCCGACAACAATGGTCAATAGCTTCGAAGCTAAATTTTCTGAAAAAAAAGTTTTTTTTTTTNCACATGTTGTTAAATATTTTCATCAAAACAATCATAATTTTCTCCCGGTTACATCCTTTCTTTGCTCCTGGGCTCGAGCTCCAGTTAATCGCACACGATAGATTACAGCAGACGACCACTGGATGCTGAAATATTTACTCTGATATTTCCTGAGAGGTTACGTCAGCTGATCCTTAAGACCAGCCTGCAGTATTGGCCAGGAATGATGTAATGGTAGGTCGGGCAAATAAACTAATGAAACGCCAATCTTACGAACTTAATTCTGGACGCCAGAGTCATATATGTACTGCAGTCGATCTACTTTATAACACTTTTGAGAAAACCAAAAATCGCGGTGAAGGATGGAAACATTTTATCAAAATATTTGTACGTAAAGGCAAATACAACACTGATAACACGATCCTTTCTCCTGAACATATAAATTGCAGCATATAGTTTAAGCTGGTTTATACGGATTTGTTGTGTAATATCATTTAGAACGTGAGATAACAATTTGGCCACTCTGACACGGTACTATACCGAAAATTATTCGGGCCAACAAAAAATATATTTTGTTACAATGTTAAAACTACATACAGTGTGAGTGGATATGAACAGTTTGATAATTTTTGTTAAAAGTTGTTGACATGAATTTACAAGATAACAGATGTTCACCAATAAACTCATGATAACGTGCTGCCGGTGTGTTAAATGTGTGTCAAGATTACCTAACATCTTGGTGTGAAACATTGTTACTGAAAAAAAAAAGGAAATTATCTTCAACTGTTTGACCATCTGCTGCTGTAAACATACCTTATAAGATCCCATATTGCATGAACAGTGGTTTCTTGGCTTAGTTAATCTATATAAATCCTTCAGCAGTTGTGACACGGTGACAATGTTCTGTCGTAGTTGTTCTTTTCTGTCGATCGGACAAAATCCTTCTGAGCTAATTCAATTTGCTAAAGGGTACTTCAATCGAACTCTAAAGGCATTTCCGTGTCACAGGAGGATTGCGATTCTATTTACGTGCGTTACCTTAAATGAACCCACTTTAATAGCACCAGCGACTGGACTCACCTCATTTCACCTCTGTTATTTCACCTCACGAGGACATTGGCATTCCAGATCAATCGCGCCCAGTTTTCTATGCTCTATCTGCGGCATCCCTGAAAACGTAGTTGGATAAGCTTCACAGAACCTAGTCTTATGTAACATTAGTATCTAATCTGACGTAACAGAATTGGACTAAAACCACACCTACCGCTCTGACGTCTATCGTTACCAAATGACCTTAGATAACACATATATGTGAATGCAACTATAACATCGACAACGCTTGACCCGACTTCATCAACAGAAGGCCTTACCCATATCTGTACTGCTTTAAATGGTTCCTGATCGAGTTTTAAGAATCTTTAGTGATCAATAAACATGACATACAACACAAAACTACGAACTGTTCGACTTAAATGCAATAACCATACTTACATAACACTTACATAATTAGTGGTGGACTGCAGCACATTTCTAGATTAAATAATGACCTCACTATTGCGCGCGCAGCGCACAAGCAAAAAAATTCAAGATGTCTACAACTAACCCAGTTTTTGGTGTATTCTTCCACCTGATGACGTGTGCGTACTGGTTTACCCGACAAGGTCACCGGCTTGGCCGCAATAAAACTACTGCTGCCTATGAGGTCATCGAGACGCATAGATTTCCAATTTAACAGTAAACCAGGCCGGCAGAACTAACGGATGATTAATTGAGATAACTTCTTGGCAAGCGTGGTTATGACAGTGTTTTTCGGTCCACCTACATTCGCTCGATATTGCCCATGTTCTAACTTCTAAGGTCATGTTAAGGATACCAGCCGCCTGCTGCATTAATGATTGTGTTAGATACGACAGCTGTGAACTTTTATACTGGTTCATATATAACGTGATATAAAATTGTTCATCTTGGAATTTACGTTAAGGTCACAAGGGATTCAATTGCTGTCGAACCCACAGAACATCTGAAACAACACGCCCCCTCTAACTTATCACAAATCTGCCACATATAATAAACGGTCAAAATTAGAACAATATCCAACAGACGTCTTTTATATGAATTTCATAATAATAAAATTAATCTTTCAGCAAATAAATGTATCTACATGCACGTAACATGTGCCCTGCGTTACGTAAGTGTTATATGATCAAAATATTTTGACCGGAAGTTTCTCCAAAATATATAAACCATTTTCATTGAAAACAAAACAAAAAAGAACGTTACTGCACTGATTAAATGATATTATAAAATCATGCGTTATACATGTCAATATATCATAATATAGTACGTTGCATAGCATAGGGCTTGATATTAAGTATGTTTATTTATTCATGATGGCTCTTCTTTGAGGTACTGGCAAGCGGTTTGACGGTTCTCAACGATGGCGATTTGACAGTATTTCCGCTCTCTTGTGTCAAACAATTCAAATCACAAAAACAAGCACAGTGATTCATTTTTCTCAGAATGGCATTCGTAGTACCAAAATACAACACATTCAATTCATTTATTAATTCTATTTTATTTTCATTTTTTATACGACCTCTCAAAAAGTTCTGATAATTTTTGATTTGTTAAATATGTGAAATGTGGAACAGACATTGGCGGAAAATACTCTAAACAAACCAGTTAATATTCCTTTTTGATAATATATACACAGGGAAAAATCTACCAAAACATTTACTTTATTCAACGAATCGCTTTGTATGGAATATGGAAGAAAAAGCTTACTGTCCATTTTCCTAACATTCTCTTATCTGGCACCGCGGATGGCACTAGCATTTTTGTTGAAATTTGAAGGTCATGAAAAGTTATCTATGAATTAATAGAATATTTTTTTCTTAAATAATGAGTCTGATCAAGAAAAAAAAACAGCAAAGTTTGAAAACTGCAACATTGGACCTCATGGGCAGTTAGCGGTGAATCAATATTACATCTATATTCTAATTAGTGCGGGAGATCACGTGATGCAGTTTTGCACAAGCACAGCAATCTCTCAGCCGACAACAATGGTCAATAGCTTCGAAGCTATATTTTCTGAAAAAAAAAGTTTTTTTAATCTATTTTTGATATTCTCACATATGGAACCATGACATTGGACTGCCGTTGGTTAGATTAGCTTTTTCACGATGGGTCGGGGGAGTAAGCGTGTGAACAGTCTCACTTAGGATTATCACACGACTTCAGAAAATAGTTGCTGATAGATTTTATTTTCCTATTTTTGTTGTCTCTAAAAATGTAGTTATTCGTTTTTTGGTCGGGTTTAGAAGTGTTGTTTTATCTGCTTCCGGTCTACCCATCACCGATCGCTAAAAAAACCTCCCGCGTGAGTTTTGGTGTAGACCCAAACGGCTGAAATTATAGAAGGGGTATCAATTTTTGGTTTGGACGTGAAAAAATGTCAATCCTAGATGTGAAGAACGCAATTAAAGCTAGAAATTAAAACAACTTTGGAAGTTATGTTCCTTACTTTCCTACGAATACCCATCTCTCCCAACAAGGGATGCGTCCTACCTCAAATTAGGATATCCAAACAGAAGTACACCCATATCAGTAGAATGGTTAATCAAATATCTGTGACCCTGTGCACCGGAGATAAGAACCTCATGTAGTTGTATTAATGTAGCTCATCTTAAAACTCGTTGCATTGCGAACAGGTATGTTTACACCCCCAATGGCATTTCTATTGTTAATAATTTTTTGGACAATGAAAGCAAGCTTGATGGATTTAGCGGATGTTTGGACATGTTATGGTTCTGTAACTAATTTGGTCAGAAGCTTATTGATGTATGAACGTCTGTTGTCTTTACTATTTTATTGATTAATTATCAGCTTGTGCAGCATGTCACTTGTAAATACATTTGGTTTTCACTGCCTTTAGCAGACATCACCTTCGGGTGTTACATGTATCATGTTGTTATATGTAAACAAATTCATTTTTATATTTTTGTATATTTTAGTTATATTTTGAATAATTTCAGTTTCATATCTTTATTCCATCAAAATGATGCATGCATTGGCGATACCAGTGGCTGTCATAGCATGTCTGGCGGCAGTAACCAATGGTCAAAACCAACAATACTGTACAGCTTCCTCCATTAGACCAACTACTGCCACCAACATAAACGGTAAGAAATTATAACAGTGTAAGATCACACTCACATATAAAGTACATGTATTTTAATATGTAGGCCTACGCTTTTATATTTCACACTGTTAATATTATTTATCAAAGTTTTGGAAAGTGAGAGGCGCTTTTTATACATTTTTTACCCCAGCTTTCTCTGAAGAATCCCCGACCATGTTTATTTTCAAAAATGTCAACTACATAAACTAGATTTAGTACACACACGTATTTCAAGTTAATATGATAAGTTACAAATTAACACAGTGCGGGGTGACATCATATGTTGTTATCTGATGGTTATCTGATATTAAACTGAATTGTGCTATGAAGGTTCACACACTTGATATACTGAAATCTTAGGCACTCGAGAGTATACTTTAATTAAGATAATATCTAACTGCCGTTGATGATAATAATATAAGTATTGCAATATGTTTTGCATTTTCAATATGGCAAGTATACAGTTTATATATATTTTCATTAGAAAGCGAAAATAAAAATATCAATCATATATTATATCATAGATTATATAATTATGACATCAGGACGAACAATGGAACAAATGCTTTTAAAAGCAAATACTTCATTTATGAATTTAAGTCATTTTGATGTGGAAAGCTCTTTTTAAGGATTTCATTGAAAAAAGAAACATTTGCCTCTACATGATTGTTCTACGGTTTATTTCAGAACAAACCACTTTTCATGAATATAATACTGCATTTCCAAATCTAAACGCTCTCATATAACAACGCTTGATACAAATCATTTATATTTCTATCTTAGCTCCCCCGCTGCCAGAACTACCAACGTCTTTTTATACCCAAGTGGAAGCCAATATCGTGAACAATGCCGGCAGTTACACAATGATGGCGGAAGAATTCTACGACGGGGTAAAGAACAGAGGAACGCTGCGTCTAAAACGAGCCGGTGGCGTGAGGCAATTTAATTATGACTACGTCACTAAGCAACTCTACGTTTCACGGATAGGCCCTGATGGAGGTAATGTTATTTTTCTTTCAAGTTGTAAATTGTTCTTTTTACTCATGACAAATCTACATACTTCTTCAATACCAGGATTCTGCATTGGACATTGGTCTTATAAGAGGGGGAAATGTACAACTGGTCCACGAAAATCTTATAACTATATATATATATATTCAATAAAATCGCTAGCACTATGTGTGCGACAATTCCTCCCCTGCCTTAAAAAGTTCGATCAATACCACATTTTAGTTGCTATGCACATTTAACATCATATGTTAAAAAAGAAGCTAAATATATTTTGTCTGCCACGCCTGTTTTCAGAGAATCGCCGGTCGTTTACCAACTTCTTAATGTAGTCTGGCTTAAAGCAAATGTTACGTGAAAATTCTTCAATAATATCGTGTAGTGGTTGTTCGTGTTCCTAATGTTCTATCACACCAGATGTGACAACAAGTAAGACAACAAGAAATAACGAGCACCTTCGCAATGTTCCTTTAAAGATGAAACTCTTGGTTTACAGCTGTTGATTGCATCGCAGAAGACATTCGTTCCCAAGATGGCCAGTACTTTTTTGGCTACAGCAATGGCACAATATACACAGTGGATAAAGTTCTGCGGTTTGGAAAGAAATTTAACGAAGTAAAACTCAATTTGGCATTTTTTTCTGCATTTACTTATTAATTTTAAATCATGATGGGCGAAGTGGTTGATGGCTTTTAAAGTTAAAACTTCATATTTTCCACACCATCCTTGCTGTTCCAAAACATTTCGAATAGTTGAAAAAATGTAGACACAATGCATGTCGCCATGATTCGGAGCCACCTTTGTCTGCAAGGCTTTTACTTATAAGGCCTGTTTGTATTTAGGTGTACATTGGGCGGGAGACGGTGAGAGGAATAAGCGTAGACCACTACAGAAGCTGTATTAATGATGACGCGTGGTCAGGGAGCTTCACGGTGGACTATTATTTCACAGGTACAGTGTATGTCAGTCAGTGATGTATCAAGTGATTTTGGAAAAAGGACTTCACAGAGCTTTTAAGGTGTCTTGGTGTAAAGATGGTTGTTAAATTCAAAGCTGTTTACTCCCCATGGTTTATAAGGATCATTTTATAGGTAACATCACACACACACACACACACACACACACTCAGAGAGAGAGAGAGAGAGAGAGAGGAGGGGAGCTAGGCTGCGATGGTAATACAATTAAATGCATAGATGCATTTTTTTTCTGTAAAACATGGATGTAAAACTGAGATTTATTACCATCGCTTAACGTAAACGCATGTTTGAACTGCGTTATATATAACGTTTTATATAACGCTTCGAGGTCATCCACAGAAATATTATCGTGGTGATAATGGAAATGTATTCCGTTTGTCCCGAGCGGGATTAAGAATTTCATCAAGGGCTTGGATGCAGTTTTGGAATGAACGAATATGAAATCGACAGTGGATGTAAATAATAAAGTAAAAAACTTAATTTAATCGTGGATTTCATGCCAGTTATTTGCCTTAGAATATATGAATTTAATATTTTTTCTTTCTTTTTTTCAGCATCGGGAGTTTGGTCCCCTGTAAACCAGCGAGGCGTTCCAGTGCCAGTCAGGGCGCTAGTGCAGGGGTTCAGCACGCGTGGAGAAAGCCATAATTTTACTAACTCGTACGAGTTTTTCTCTTTCCAACCAAACTACACTTTTTCAGAGACAGATTTTGAGGTAATGGTTTTTAAAATATAGCTTTATCTATTAGATCTATAAACATATACAGCATTACAATGCTGTCCAAAAAATACCAATCTTAATGTATGATTAATATGAACAAAAAAAGTCTATCTGATTACTCAATGACCGTATTTTGGATTTTTGTATCGTTTTACTTTAATTAACAGAACCGATTATATTCCTTTTGCAGTGCTCTTTAAATCGATTGCAGTTTTAACATTCTTGGTCAAAGAAAAAAATGTTTGTCGCCAATTTTCCAGACCCCAGTTGGTGCTTACTGTGCAAGCCGCCTGAACCCAAGACCCATGAAGCCTTTAGATTTACAGTTCTCGTATATGCAAGAAATCTACTTACCGAGATCTTCCATTATTCAACTGGCAACTGTAAGTTTCAATATCATAATCACCGTTTGATACATGTACATATATATATATATATATATACTATACGCCTTCAGAATAAAGCATTACCCTTATGTAAAAACACTGTAAAATATTAAGATATATGCAATCACGTTATAACCGGCATCAAATATTTAATTGCTTTACTTCCATTTTATAAATAGCACATATTTTTAAAAGAATGATAATATTAACATGTTGAATGTTTGCATATTTTATTGAAAACCCAAACGACTCCTCTGCTGACAACTCTCTCTCTGTCTCTCTCTCTCTCTCTCTCTGAAATGGAGTACTTAGTTTCGGTTTAACCTGCTCCGGCAAAAACAAAGCTTAGAAAGCATTTCAGCACAAAACCATTTGATTATCTTTTCACTGATTACAATGGTCTAATTGATAGCCTTGACGAAAAATCAGACGGACGTAAACTGTACTGGCAAACTATTAAGAGCCTGATGGGTACAAAATACAATACGTCAATTCCAACTATCGTTTTAACGAAAAATTAAAATTCTTCGACGGGTATATGGCTGCATACACTGGGTTGGAAAAATCGTCAGCATTTCTGAGGTATTTCTCGCAGAGAGATCACTCTGACGATGAGACTGACACTGCAACGCTATTCTACCCCCCCCCCCCTCCCCGAACAAGTGAAACTCTATCTGAGGTGGATGTGACTGATACGGAGATCAGATCAATAGTTGATAGCTTGGATAGCTCAAAGGCAAGTAGTCCAGACTCTGTGACGATAACAATGCTCAAAATCAGCAGAGATTCTATTGCGAAACCATAATGTGTTCTATTTGAATACATTTTACAGAGCAGTACCTTTCCGGGTTAATGGAAAACGGCTTACATCTGCCCGATCTATAAAAAAGGTTATAAAAGCTGCATCGAAAATTATAGGCCTGTTTCACTACAAAGTGTGGTATCAAAGATATTAGAAAATAATGATATATAAAAATATGATCAATCATGTCATAAGTAACAATTTACTGTTTAATAGACAATCTGGATTTTTCAAAGGTCATAGCACAGATCATCAGCTACTGGCAATTCAAAATTTCATAAGAAGTAATTTTAGAAAAGGACGGGGCGTTAGAGGAATATTCCTATATATTTCGGCAACCTTCGGCAGAGTTCCGCATAAACTGTTATTACTTCAATTGTCAGCGTGCGGGTTTGAAGGTTAATTATTTTCACTTTTATCGTCATACCTGCAGAACAGAAAAATGATGGTATCTATTAGTGGCACGTTATCCGAATCAACTGAAGAAGGCTATATTAATACCAGCGTCCCTCAAGGATGCTGGTATTAATCCCTGCTCTTTCTCCTTTATATTAATGACTTACCTGACAACTCTCTTCTGATCGCTTTCTGTATGCCGATGACACGTCGATTTACTTATGTCAGTTACATTTCCTTGTACTGTCAGATCATGCTTCAGGTGTAGCAAATTTTAGAAGCCAACGGGTACAATTCCTTATTCCATTTTTAAATGCAACTTTAAAAATCAGTCGGATTACAAGCTTTTTTTCAAGCATGGCGCCCTCTCTTGACATAGATACGGTATGGAGCATGTTATTATTGTATTGTTTTTTTTATAATCTGCTATATTCAAGATGATAAATGCAACTCGAAATCCCCATTGCTTTTTGATAAGTATCCACACCTTATAAACGTGCAAGCGGATGCAACTCAAACTACAATTTTTCTGAGACTATCAGTAAAATGATGCCAAAGAAATATTTTGTTACTTACTAATTAGTCTACAAATGATAATGACTACACGATGGAAACCATCTGTCAGCACTGGTTTGTGCAATATTATCAAACATATGAACAACTTTTGAAAAAATCACTGAACAGCACAATAGTCTGTTTGCATATTGCTATGCCACTTTAAGGGCAGTAATGGAACAATGCTCGCAGGAGTTTCAGAATATATTCTGACCCGGCAAATTCGTAAGGAGGCCTATGGTATGGTTTGTTTTTTACAGGTATACTACGACTTTCAGTACAAGCTGTTACGTTACGACTACAGAAATCCTGACGTTGGAATACCACCTTGGTATACGGACCACATGCTCAAAGAAGTTCATGATTATAACACAGGCAGGTGTAACTGTACACAATTCTGAATATAATTAAATCTGTTTTCAACTCGCGATATAAATGTGGTCGCTATTTTAAGATTTCGTAACATATTGTCGTGCAGAAGTTAAGAATATATTAAAACCCGCAAGTGTTATCTGATAATCTTTATCAAACTACTTCTCACTTATTAATGTCCATATTAAAAAAATCTCTTAGTGCATGAAACTGTAGTCAATACGATTTAAAAATTAAAGTAAACCCATGTAGTATAATGTGCAATCACAGAAAATCTACGATATTAAGACGAAAACTGACATTGTGGCAGCGTTGGTATTTACACACCTTTTCCATGTTTTCTTCAGGTGTTAAGTATGTGACAGACACTGTGCTTGGCAACTGTTCAATACGAGCTTTGGGGTTGGACGGTTTTGATTCAACGATCAACGAGAAGGAACTACAAAAAACTGGCGGTTATGCCCTACGACTGAAGAATCCTATGGAATTGTTCTTCTTAGACTCCGAATCCTATGTATATGTTGGTCAGGTAACTTGTGGATAACCACGTTGTTTAAAGTCAATATTAATTTATTCAATACACTCTCAGTTGTGGGTTTTGTGCACTTATTCAAACATTTGTTAAATAATGGTGAATGTTTCAGTTCAAAAGATATATAACGATACCATGACCACTCATACTTATGTAGGAAAAAGCATGTGAAACTACTGAATATTTGATATAGCTAGAAATGATACAATCAGCGCAGAAACTGTTTTCTTTGTATTAATAAGTTATCCGTCTTTCCAGAGACTTACACGAGGAATTAGAGCCGACGTTTATGTCACACAGAGGAACGACTACCCAGTGCCTGGTCACGTTGATACTAATGTCACGATTGAGGCATACTTTTTGTCGGTGAGAGTTGCCCTCTTACATAAACTAGTTTAACAGGTTCATTAGTTTAGCATAATAACACACGTACCACATACACCTATATGCACCTGAAAATGTGATGTTCGCAACAAGAGATTTGATTAAGTTAACAGGAATAAAAATACTTCGAATACTGACCTATTCATTATTAGATTTTAAAAATTTTGATTGGTCAATGTCTGTATTCTAGAGTGATGTCAGAGAAGTCTCCCCAGGCTCTATTGTCGATTCTGGTTTCCCTATACAGCTAGTGATCACTTCAGCTGTAGTAAGTATAAGAGAGTATAATCAGGTTCCTTTAATTCCAATACAAGATAATACCCATGGAACGAGGTGGCCAAATAGTTGGGGAAATTAACATGTTTAAAATTAAATTTTAGTTGATTGTTCCAAGATATACGCAAGGCATAAAAAGTAGGGGTAATAGACCTACATCGCCCACGTTTGTGAAGTTAAAAAATCGGGGTTGAACAGACGATGTGTGTATAATTTAATTTAATAATGTCTATTGTAAAGTATGTTTCTCTGGAGTATTACTTATTAAATTGCTGTGTGTAGTGAACCATGTAATGCAGACGCCTTAAAACAATTTTCTTGAAATTACAGCCGGAAGTAGATTTCAAAATAAGCTACAACTTCTTCAACTTTGATCAAGAGCACCCAGACCTGAATAATTTTGAAATCATTGAATGTTTCCCAGAGGCAGTTAAGAAACATTTCAGAATCAAACTTCCCAGTAAGATATTTTGTTTCTTTTTTAAAAAAACATGATACTTGTATATGTCTCTAAATAATTGCAATATGCATAGAAAGGAAAAATCAAAAACGCCGGAGAAAAAATACCGTTTAGAATACATGTTACAGGGACCTCGCCAGGACTCATCGTGGACTACATGGGGATAGAGACACGTGCTCTTCAACTAGAACTCGCCCAGTTTGCAGGGGTGTCACCTCAAAGAATACAGAGACCACAGTTACAGTACGACTCGCAGGCATTTTACGTGGTTTCTACCCTATTGGAACGGGCACCCTACTCAGGTACTGTCATAAAATTTCTCAACGGAAAAAATAACAAATCTGCTAACAAGTTTTTGCATTGATACGAGTGAAATCTATGCCTTCATGTTCTGTAAAATGTATGACAATTAGTACCCTCTACCAGGGCGACAGATTGATTTTTCACAGATATTCTCAGATATGTCTCTAGATAGATAGACTGTCATTTTGGTCTGGTGCTTCAGCCAAATATGTCCACAATAATAACTGCGGCCCTGGTAGAGGGTAGACAATTAGTAATTGTCGAACTCTAAAGAAGCACTTCTCAGAACAGTTGAAACATTTCTTCATTATTTTAACGAATTTTAATTCGTATTCCTGTTTTGAATCAAAGCAAAGAGCAGTATCGCACTAACAAAATATATATCATAGCAGTTAAATAGGAATTTTATATTTTATAAGTATGAAGACTTTAAATGAGAATTAGAAGCTTTTTGCACTTCGTTTGACATTTATGAAAAAAGAAATAAAAAACAAAGTTGGTAGGTTTAAAAATATTCATTAAAACTGACCATTGTTTTCTCTTTACCTGGTTTACCTGTCAGCCCAGTTCACAGTGTTTGCTGACGAAACGGCGTATTATGGCAGTGATAAAATTATAAACAACATAGGAGACATAGATAGTTGCGGAGAGCTTTGTCTTGACCCTGCTGCCGGAGGAATACCATGTAATAGCTTTGACTACTGCCCCCAGGAAAAGATGTGCATCTTAAGCCGCACCCATCAAGGCAATGCGACATCAGTGAACGGAAAGAACCCGCTGTGCTCCCACTGGACTCGTAAGGACCTATAAATCTTATTAAAAGCATTCTGAATTGTATTTTATATAATCTGGTAAACATCTTGTAAAAGTTAAAACTTTGATTAATAACGTCGTATGTAACACAAATCTTAAAATTTTGCAACGACACGTAGGCTACATAAAGGAATTTATATTTGATTAACATGTTTATTAATTCAAGGCAACGTCGACTTTCCCGGTAAAGCAGAACTTCCCCTACAGGCTGCCTGGTTGAATCTCACTAATAGTGTCAACGCTGGGTCGGTGTGGTTATCGGTAGCGGCGCGAAATGGTTCGGTATGGAGTGCATTGTTATGGACTAGTTAAGGCCGCATTTACAATGGCCGATCCACTTGAAAGTTTGGCGCGAAATCCCTGCGGGGAATCTATTCAATATCTATTAGGAATCATGCGGCAAGCTTTTAAGTGGGTCGGCCAGATTTGATCCGCAGATCTGTTAGTCAGTGGATTAACGTGTAACAGACTTGTTTGAGCTTCATTTACAACCATACCGAGTAATCCCTGTGGAGGATTTATACAGTGTCTCTTAGGGGATCGTGCAGCAGGCTTTCAAGTTGGTCGGCCAGATTTGATCCTCATATCTGTTAGTCAGTGAATGAACGTGTTCTGAATGCGCCCTTAGAGTACAAAAGTCAATTATGAATTGTTCAATATAAAGGATTAGCCTAAAATAACATTATAAGACAGAATCCAGCTGACAGCAGAATAATCCGAAGGAACCAACGAGACAAAAGCAACCTGTAATGTGATTCGAATATTATGAATTCAGCAAAATAAAACTATACCATACCAATATAGCAATATAGTGCTGTTCGGGTGCTTCTCAAACAAATGTGATACCGTTTCTTGAATTCCAGATGTACAAAATAAAGTCCAGTTCAATTCGAGACGACATTGAGAGACCCACCCTCCCAACTCGCATACCAACGACCACGCCAGGGCCTTCCAACCCCACCCCGGGGCCAACGGCAAAACAGCAGGAGGTGCTGGTACATGACAGTAACACAGGCAAGCTCGATTTACGTGGCACTTGTTTTTTTAGACCTTAAAGGGACATTGAAAACCATTTTAAAAGGTAGAAGAGAAGATGGGGGGAAGAGCAGAATATAAACGATATCTTAAGATAAAAGCTTCTTCAATTCTGCAAACTTCCGTATGTCATATTGATTTCAACGACTGTTTCTTTTTTCAGGAGCAATGGTAGGGTTGGCTGTCGGCATGTTGGTCCTAGGACTCCTGCTCGGCGCAGGGGCTCTATATGGGTTCCTTAGACTTAAAAGACACACACTTCCAGATAATATGCAACTTTCATTTGTAAACAAAGAAAATTCTGAATGATTTTCTGATGAGCATGAGCTGAGGCAGAGTAAGGCGCTGTATGAAAAGTCAAGAGGGGCGGCAGTGTTAATGCATTGTGAAGTACGTCGGAAATCCGTTTTTATAAAATAAGACGTGTAAATAGCATTGCTTTTTTAATTAGAAAACGACTAACTTATCCAGCACTGTATGGCTTATTATCAGGTTGCATTAAATGTATACGATACTCCCACATTCCTCATTTCATACATCATCACTAAGTCCTTATTTAGTATAATTGTCTATTTATAAATAAACAGGCAAATGAGATTAATGAAGTGCCGCCGGCACGTGCCCGTAATGAATTCTAAAAAAATACGCACGAATCGGATTAAATAAGACGTTTTTGTACTCGCTAAATTAACAAGGTTTACCTTTAGAACTAACCGGAAGTTTGATCATTTGAAATCTATAGAGTTAACGTAGCACACAGAACAAGTGCACTGGACAATGCTATTGAATGGATCGCATACTGATAGCGAAGTATTGGGATTCTGTACACAATTTTAAAACTATTCAAAGATCTATTCCAGATATGCTCCTGACTGTGATCACCATACTAATGTTAACAAAGCTAAGAACATCAATATTGTGATCACAGAGCCGAAAAAGCAGGTGGATAGTTCCTCTGTGGCACACAGAATGTTATCATCACCAATACCCTTCTCCAACAAGGTTTTAGTTTAGATATCGGGCATCTCTCGAACGCCTGCATTAGCACGAGTTTGGGCTATATTAAACTGTGAATGACGGCGCTACGGGTATCCGAGAAAACTGCACGAAAACCGGTTGTGTCCTTTTCACGAGGTGAAAGATGAGCTACACTCAAGTTCCATTGCATCAAATATGCATCAGAGATGTTAGGGTTATAAGAACTAACGGGAATACGTATCCCGAATTCCCTGTGGAGAAATAATGAGAAATGCATTGCTACTTGTATGCTACATACTAAGACCACACAAACCTTGTCGAGTGTAAGTCATAAACGTTTTCAGATGCTTCGTTGCTACTTATAGTATGAACAATGACTTACGTTAGATAATTATATTTTACCTTCCATTGTATGTATTTTATCTGTCATTCATTGTACTTAATCACTGCAGCTGTGGTTAATTTGATTACAATAAACAATAATTAAAAATAATTATGACATCAGTTCTTCAGTTTAATAAAAAAATGAAGTAACCAAACCTCGTTTTATACATAGAAACTTTAATGACACTGAAAAGATGACAAGGCGAGACTTCAAAAGTGATTGGATTCATTGCTTAAACTGCTTTTCATCATCAATTCAATGAAAAAATAACAAGATTGCAAAGAGTACTGTTAATGGATAAACAGAACATCATTTTGATGACTTTCATGTACTCCTTGAAATAATAAAATTTTGACCCAAAATGAGTGAGAATAATAACTTTAGACCCCGTGTTCTAGTCCTACATACAACAGGCTCCAACTTGGATACATGTTGCACTGTTTTAGTAAACATGGTGTGTAAACACTGTCAGGTCTTCCAATCTTCCATATTGTGAAGATAAGATTCTCAGTGACTAGCTCCAGGCTCCTTCCAATTTCATGAAAAGAAGCAAATGACATTACCATGTGTCTACTGAGTAGAATGTGGAAATAAAAAAAAGCCTCATCACAAATTGTATTTGTGATGAGAGTCTATGCTATTGGTTGGCCTGTTCACATGCATCAATCCAATCACTGTACACATCAACTGCCTCTGAAAGATCTGACAACAGTTAAGATGCATAACAAATGTCAATTAAAAATCTAAACCCGAGTACCTTTCATAATTATTATTTGGTTAATTTCATCATGAGATCGATTTATTCTAAAATGTTAAAATCAAAGGCTGTGCTATGTTTTAAATCTATTTCTTTATTGTCATTTTTTATGATTACTATCTAAGTCAGGAATTGTAAATTAAAATGTGCATAATAAAAGGATACAATTAATTGTGGTCTGAAAATCTTCAAGACAAACATTGCAAGTTATAACTCCCACATTCCTTGCTCGGTCTCTGAAAAAAAAAAAGAAAAGAAATTTAAATGCAGAATATATATTGACATTGAATAAAATTTTTCCGTGACAGCAAAAAGGAATCTAATTTATCAACAGTTTAAGACTTCTTGCAGCAAGATTGACTACAGCCTTTTTTAGCCAAATCCCTTTCACTTCTAGGCTAAATGAAATCTTTGGGTAAAAAAAACTAATCTGATTAACACATATTTTTGGTTTGTTTGTTTTCTTTTCATACATTTTATACTACTGACAATGCTAGCGAGAGCCAAACATGAAGTAGCATGTTTTATTGTGCCAATCATCTCTATTAACTGTAAGGTTTTCTTGTACTTACAAATTCACTTCACAGGACTTTTCGTGATTACAAAATGGGCAGTTAAACATGGTATCCAACTTCTCTAATATCTTCCGTTTGGGAGGGGGCTTATTTGCCTTCTTTCTACGTCCCATTTTCTGGTGATCTAGAAATACAAAACTTTTTACAACATTTCATACACAAACTCTAAGCAATTAAGAGATTTAAGTCACAGAAATGAAAGTAAGCTATAATCGCATTCTAATACAAAGGAATGAAAGTGCTGTTATTTCAGACTCTGTAAATGTTTTTGCTAATTAAATTGTGCCTCATTTTGTTAAAAAGTATGGGCACTAATTGACATTCATTGTGAATACCAAAAGTTCAATATACCTGGGTATATATCAAAATGTGTGGCGAATACATTGTTTGCTACTATAGCGCGCCACACATGCATAAACACTGCCACAACCTTAATACGCAGTAGTTACTGTAGTACATGTACGTTTCATTTGAACCACATGGCGAGGCTATTTCAAGCACAGACGGGTGGTTTGCTTCAATACAACTATCTCTTTCCTTTGAACAGACCACATTCTGCAAGATACTAATCTTAAGGACCAAGGAGTGTGGTAATAAACATGAGTATCATGACAAATACGGTAAGTAACGTTACCTTATCGTTTGTCTTGTGGTCCCTTTCACGCCGGAAGTTTGATGAGAATAGAAAATGGCGATTATGCAGCTAACCGATTTGGGGAGAAATTTTGACTTAAAAATAAGAACACATGTAAGTGAGAGTTTTAAAAAATGACCATAACATACAATTTTGAATATTGAACGAACTGATTACTATGATATCTATATAAATATCACATTTTTTTATTTTTGACTTCAAGATAAACTTTGTATTTTCCGGCCTAATCTTTATTTTGAATGTTTACAATATGTCTTCGTACACGCGGGAGAGGAGGTACTGTTTTGTTTTCACTTTTAATTATGGATGAAAGGTCGCAATCGATTCAACATTTTAGTTGATTTAATTTTTCGTGAGAAGATTCTGAAAAATAATTTGGTGGTATGTTTTCAACTTGTGTATATTTTATTGAAATAAATATATTTTTGCTGATGTAGCTATATTTTACGCTCTTACTAGGCTTACCCGGTTGTCTAGTTTGCCAGCAAAAAATCTGGGCTGTGGGGTCTATTAATGCCTGGTGAATTGTTCACAGTTTGATAAAACTTAAATTCACGAGTGACGCGTGTGATTCTAATACGTTATTTATTTGTTTATTTATTTATTTATTTATTTTTGCATGTGAAGTCTATTGTTTGGTTGCCTCAGTTTTCTGCCCTACGGTAACTTACATGCACTTACCGCAAGTTAGGCAACGCATTGGTACGTAAGGGCTCATCAAACCTGTGTTACAAACTCCTGAAACTTTAAATAACCACATCCTGGATATATACTGTTTGCCCTCCATCGCACCTTGTACAGGGAGTATATCATATGAAATTTATGTTCATTTTCATCGGTTCATGCACCAATTTTGACAGTACATAGCACTTTTAATCCAGTTATCCAGCAGCACTACCATTTCTGCATGTCATCTGTAAGTGACATCACATATAGCCTTGAGATTTTGGCACACAGGGTGTTATGACCCTAACCTAACCAAGACTGAAAACAAAGGCAATTTTTTTCCTTTGATTATTTCAGAAAACATTGTATATTAATAGAAGGTATGGGGTATTGAACATCAAAGATGACTGAGAAAATTATGATTGAGTATGAAAACCAAATGTTTCTTGATCTCTTCCATGAAGATGGACTTCTAGTCACAGGAAGGTATTATAGTTTGGTACAATAAATCACCTTGTATGATGAAATTGCACATGATCTTTTCCTCCTAGCTTGGGCAAATGAAATTAATCTTAAAAGTCAAAAATCTTTTTTAAAAATCAGTTGTCAAGTGATATCAAGGGTGATCAGATCCATGACTTAAATTTCAGTTACAAAATCTAAGATCTTAATTTTTTGTAATTATGTAGTTGATTTGAAGATTTTAACTAAGAGAACTAAATGGTTTTATTTTTATTTGCATATTTCAGAGGTCTTGGCATTGACAGGATTTTTATTGATTTTCTGAAGCTGTACTGTGATCCTGGCAACCTGGTGCTAGTTCTTAATGCAGGGGACAAGGAAAAGGTACAATTAAGCAGTCTTTGTTTATGTTTTGTTCTCTTTTATACTTTTCAAATTTAAAATAAATTTTTAATTCTCAGTGCCTTACTCTGTGGTTTCATAGGGAAATGCTGAATAATCTTCTGACTAATGTGATTGCATTGGTATTTATTTGTTTTCTTCATTATGATATACTTTTCATGATCTTTGTCTCTTATTTTTCAGGAATACTTTATAGATGAATTAAGAAAACAAGGGACATCTCCACTGCCAAAAATAATCACAACAGAATACAATGCCAATGATAGGTAGTTACTCACTGACCATTGCTTGTGTTTTACAATTATTTTATATAATTTAGTTTTAATGCTTGATGGATATCACAAAGAGTTTGACAATGAAGACAGAGTTAAAAGATCTGTTTTTACCATTTGGTTGTGTGTCTTTAAGCATATACCTGAAGGTACATAGTGAAGTGCATCTTTAATAAGCAAAAGGCATTGTGATCCTTTTATAGTAAAATGCACTTAACAATTGAAAATTTTTTATACCAGGCACTCCATTTACATGCAGGGAGGGGCTTTATTTGTCACTTCCCGTATTCTTGTTGTGGACATGCTGACAGAACGCCTACCTATAGATTTAGTCACTGGTATTCTGGTATTTAAGGCTCATAAGTAAGTACTATTTATGTTTAATTAAGATGCACTTTGTAGAATAGATATGTACATGTGTTTAAATTGGTTAACTGATTTGTTTACTTTGATTTGTGAGCTATAATCACCTGTTTTGTCAGTGCTATGTCTATAAAGTTGAGAAAGATAGCTGTAATGAGGATAAAGAATATATATGTGCCTATCTATTATATGTCTGTTTACACCAAAGTTTAAATAATTCAAAAATTTTTTTTCATTTCAGGATTGTTGAATCTTGCCAAGAAGCCTTCATTATAAGACTATACAGGCAGAAAAATAAAGTAATTTTTATTTATTTCTTTATTTTTTTGCAAATTTTTTATGTTGATTTATAATGAAAAAATATAGAATTTCCATACACACCTGAAACAGATGTGGTGTCAGTTTTTTAATGGTCTACATTATCTTTTCCAAAAAGAAAAAGCAATTAAAAGTTATACTTAAACAAAATAATTGATTTATTTAATCATTATGTTTTCAGTTGATACAATATTAAGATTCATGCAGAGTAAGAACTTAGAAGCTGAGGTTGCATGTATTCACCAAATCTGTCTGAAGTGTACATGTTCTGTGATTGGATAATTATTGCATAATTTAGGTTGGGTTTGTGAAAGCATTCTCTGACAGTCCCCAGTCCTTTACAGCAGGGTTTTGTCAGGTGGAAAGGGTGATGAAGAGTTTGTTTGTCAGGAAGCTGTACCTTTGGCCCAGGTTCCATGCCTCGGTGGTCTCTTGTCTTGAAGAACACAAGGTAAAGCCCTTTCCACATTGAGTGGCCCATTTCATCAGACTGGTTTACTTTGAGAGACTGACAAATTATAGCCTGAATATTATGTAAGAAAATTACCTAAATGGAGCCCTTATCTTCGACATGGCCAATTCAGTAACAACAAAAAGTGAATTTGTGATTGTTGGAAACTTGGAAAAGGGATGAAATCCTCCTGTAACATAATTACATGTTGAGACTTCTCAAAGTGGAGAAGCCCACTTAAGTATATCTGAGGGATGTGAAAAGGGCCCAAGTATATTCTGTGAATGAACTAAATTTGTGATTCTGGTTTAACTTGGAATTTAGACTTATGAAGCGCCATAGGTAAAATATTATGTCAAGCACTGTAATACTCTCAAAAACTTGATATCGTCATCATCTCATTTTGAACCAGTTTACTTAAACCAAGGAGTTACAACTGTCTTGCTTAAACTTATAATGTTGCTTAAACTTGCTTAAACTTATAATGTTGCTATGCTGTATTCATGAGGCTACATGTTTCCAGGCTGAGGTTGTTGAGCTCCACCTACAGCTAACTCCAGCAATGCTTGCATGTCAGACAGCTCTTCTGGACCTGATTAATGCTTGCATCAAGGAGCTGAAGAGATATAACCCAACAGTAAGTAGCACATAGGGGTTTAACAGGAAAAACATATATACAAAATTTATCATTTTCATAGGTCAGATTATGACAAGTACTGAATATCTATAAAGATCAATTACAGGTGAAATTTACTAATACAACAGTAGCATGAAAAATGAAGCAATCATTTCATTACAGAAATTTTTATTGTTGATTTCTATTTGATACTTTTTGACATGCTTTGATATTTTTCCTCAGTTTGATACTGATGAAATAACTGTAGAAAATGCCATCACCAAGTCATTTGACCAAATAATTCGCCTCCACCTGGACCCTATATGGCATCAGCTGGGAGCAAAGACCAGGCAGCTAGTTGCTGATATCAAGACTTTGAGGCTGTTGTTGAAGTAGGTTTCTTTATATCTTTGTAAAAGTATCTTGAGAATCTTGAAATTGTGGACTGTATTAATTTTTGTGTGGGTGTTGGTTCATCTAACATATATTTAATGTGCTTTGTTTATATGCATATGCTTGATCAGTTAAATGTGCATGTACTGTAGTAGGTGGGAAGCAGATAAATGAAACAATGTACTTAATACCATAGCACATATCTTACCATATTGCTTTCATTATACTCAGTTCTGTACTTAAATTTATACATATACATAATTTTTTTGTTTTAGACACCTGACACAATATGACTGCATCACATTTTACAATCTTGTAGATTCTATAAGGTAAGTAGGGAAAAGTAAGAACATATTCAGGCTGCAGTATCATAGGATAATGATTTTGAGAAATTCTTTAATTTGGCAGTTGAAAAAAGGCAAATCATTCTATACATAATAATTATTTGTACAATTATTTGGTTTATTGCATTTAAATGAAAAATAGTCTCTTTTTTTTCAGATCAAATGAAATAACATTTGGACAAAATTCTGGATGGCTGTTCCTAGAAGCAGCTGATAATCTTTTCACTGTAAGTCTTAAATAAAAAGAGTGTCATGCCATTTTAAGTCAGTACTGGTTTGTAACTATTTGTATTAATTTATATTGTGTATTTTATTTTACAATTATTTAGATAAAGAAAACTATTTCTTTTTAACTTCTAATATTTTGTCTTCATTATTTCAAAGATCATTTTTAATCATGATAATACACTTTTGGAATGTTGAGAAAATTTCCTTTTATGCCATTATAGCATGCAAAGGAAAGGGTTTATGGGCCAGCAAAAAAGACAAAGAAAGTAAAATCATCTGAAGAAAATTGGGATCCTATTAAGTCAGATGCTAAAGGTATATTTCAAATTTTGTAAATAGTATGAGCTGTTAATTGGGCTGAAATAGAAAATGTTATATAAGAGTCACTTCTGTCCTACCTTGTGTATTTTGATTACTTTGAAAGCATTAACTTCAGTAAAGCATGCAACAAGAAATAAGAACATTTTTCCAAGCACTAGTCTAGAAATATTGTAAATACTTGTGCCAAACAATATTTAAAGAAAATGTATCTTGTACTTTAGGTCCAGTCCTTGAAGAATGTCCAAAGTGGAAAATTCTTGCTGAGATCCTAAAGGAGATTGAGGAAGAAAATGAGAGTGTGTCCAGCACACTTGGCCCAGGCAGAGTACTGATTGCTGCAGAGGATGACAGGACTTGTAATCAAATAAAACAGGTAGACATGTATATTTCATCCTCTTTTCTATTCTGAAGGTGTAAATGGTACAGAAGAAGAAGTGAATATGGAACATATTTTGTGTTTCCTATTTTTGAACTTTTTAGCGGAACTGATACAGAAATGAGACTTCACTGTTTGACCTTGGTCATAGTATACTAATACATTACTTGTTCTTGAAATATATCGATATTGCTTCATTTGAATGCATGCTAAGCTATTGTTTCTATTATTTCAGTATTTGAGTGATGGGGGACATACTTTGCTGAAGAGGTTATTTGATAAATCAGTTGGGAGAAAGACAGGACAGGTAAAAGAAAAACCGGACATTTGTGTTTAGTGACAAATTATGGGTAATTCGAAATGCTTTATAACAGCAAACAATAAAAGAAGACACATTTGTTGTATTGATTTTAACCCTCATATTTGTTCCATGGAAATGGTAGGTTTTAATTAAGATTAAGAAATTATTCTATTAGAAAGTAGCAGAAGACGCTTCAGCAGCAACGAGGGGCAGGTGGAAAGGGAAAGGAAAGGGCAAAAGCTCAGCCAAAAATACAAAATCCAAGTCAGAACTTACCTTAACCCAAATGGTAGATAGCCACAATAAAGAAGAGGATGATGATGATAAGGTATCTACCCCTTAATATGAATAGATATGAATTCAGCTGAAGGATACACCATGCTGCAATACAGTAGTCAATAGTCTCAATTCATTATCTCTCTCTCTCTCTCTCTCTCTCTCTCTCTCTCTCTCTCTCTCTCTCTCTCTCTCTCTCATAACATTTACCATTGGTATAATAGACAGAAGGAGACACAGATTCTGTGGAAGAAGAAGACAAGCAGCCCCCGTCTTCAGATGCGTATTATGGCGTACTACAGGAACCAGTGACAGTGCTCCACCCACTGCATGGCTGTAATGATCCCTATGGGCTGGTGAGAACTCTGAAGGATGTTCAACCAAGATATGTCATTTTGTATGATGCTGACATGATTTTTGTAAGACAGCTGGAGGTAAGTCCTTCATAAAAAAATTTTTTTGGGGGAGGGGGTGTTAATATTTAATTTAGACATAAAAGAGAGGACAGCATACAAGTAAGGAATGAAGTTGTTCTGTTATCAAAGGTGAAAATAGTGAATGGCAATGACATGTCAAAAATGATAAACTTGACATGACATTGTTCATTAAAACTTATGAATCATTTCTAGCTATTCAAAGCTTCAAGGCCAGGTACACCATTGAGGGTATACTTCCTAGTGTATGCTGGCTCTGTGGAAGAACAGCGCTACCTCACCACTCTCAGGAAGGAGAAGGAAGCATTTGAACTCTTGATTAAAGAAAAGGCTGTAGGTCAAAATTTCATTTTCATGAATCAGTGGAGTTGTGGTTATTTGTTAAAGTTAACAAACTATTCTATTTTGGTCTATTTTATGTTCTAGAATTTCTGAATTTGTAACAAAATACTTTGTCCTATGCACAGTTTATTTATTTATTTATTTATTTATTTATTTATTTATTTATTTATTTATTTATTTATTTTTTTTTGGGGGGGGGGTTGTATGGATAAGAATAAATAAATAGACATTTAATAAAAAAATTTTGCTCACTCTGCAGACAATGGTCATCCCTGAGGAGAGAGAAGGGAGGCTGCAGAATGATCCCAGTCTATCAAGGAATCCCAAGTCTACTAATGCAAGTAGTAGTACCAGGAAAGGAGGGGTGGAACCCGAGCCACCTGTACAACAAAAGGTCAGTCTACAGGAATTAAAAGGAGAAATATAAGGAAATGGTTTACCCCTTTAAAAAGTCTACAAGTGTTTCACTCGATGAATTTGTGTCCTCTTTTCCTCCACCATATCTTTTGTGGTTTCAGATTATTGTAGACATGAGAGAATTTCGCAGTGAACTTCCCTCTCTTATTCACAGGAGAGGTATTGATATTGAACCCGTCACCATTGAGGTAGGAGTTTATGTATCATCATCATCATTGCTCTTCGTCCCGCGTGGGACATAAGGCCACAGGAGTTTATGTATGGCTGGATGAATAGCTTCTTTGATATAAAATTGCTCGTGTTCAGAATCAGTTTAATTAAATTATAATAAATAAATAAAAAAAAAAAGATTGGTACTTCTATAACACATTCCATTTTTCTTTTAATTTTTGAGTTTAAGTGCCCAGTATCATGCTTGCTCAGAACCCAAGTGCATCCTATCTTTAAGCCACTTCATAGATGATAATGCTCAGACTTTTTGATAATTTGAAGTTTAATAATTCTTAGGTTGGGGATTACATCCTTACTCCAGATATTTGTGTTGAGCGCAAGAGTGTGAGTGACCTCATTGGCTCTTTGAACAATGGCCGCCTGTACAACCAGTGTGCTGCTATGAGTAGATACTATAAGCGACCAGTGCTGCTGATAGAATTTGATGCTAGCAAGCCATTCACATTGCAGGTAGGACAATAGGGGAACATTAAGCTGACAATAATTTATCATACTTCAACTTTTCATTTTGTTTAAAAAGAAATGTATTCTAAACAACTATTATAAAAGATAAAGATTGTATCAGAGGTACTGTAACTTTAAGATTTTGTTTTTTCATGCAGACCTTTATAGATTATGAATACTCGAGTAAAAATTAATACAAGAGAAAAAAAGAATGTTGAAGAGCTCTGAATGGTGTTTTGTTAAGTTCAATCTTGCTCACGCAATCCTATCTAGGGTAAAAGTCAGTACATGTCCAGTGATATCAGCAGTCAGGATGTGACCTCTAGGCTGGCCCTCCTCACCCTCCACTACCCACAGCTCAGGATACTCTGGTGCCAGAGCCCATATGCCACTGCTGAACTCTTTGAGGAACTTAAGGCAAGTGATGACAAAGAAATGTTTTTTACCTACTTCATACCTACCATCAGTATATGTATAGAAGTAATGTTAATGACATTGGTGAGAGCCAATATTCACCAATTGATGGACTGAAGATGTCAGAAGTGTTAGTTAGTAACATGCAAGACAATTCAGAGCATACAAAGATGATAACAACATGAATATTTTAGGTGTAATAAATATGACATGTAAATTTATCTTTGTTTACTCTAAAGCTTGGCAGAGAGCAACCTGATGCTGCAGCAGCTATGACGGTCACAGCGGAGACAGAGCTAACAGAAATTCCAGAGAAGTACAACATGGGCCCACAGGTTAGCAGAAATAGCATTCTAAATTGGCATTTAAAGGATATCTGAATCATCTTTTATTCACACTATTTTCAGAATATTTTAAAATTTATGCATAATACATAATTTTGTTTCAGTGAGACATTTTATTGCATTGATCACAATTTTTTTCATTTTTGTGGAATCATATTGCCTGGATAACCAATGTAGAAAAAAATATCTTTCAGAATTTTCTATTGAAGCTCCCAGGAATCAGCACAAAGAATGTCTATGCTGTCATGAATGCTGTTCATGACTTGTCTGAACTTGTCTCTTTATCTGAAGAAAGGATTGCAGAGATACTGGAAAATAAAGCACATGCCAAAACTTTGTGGGATTTCTTGCATTCTGAGCAAAAGCAAGTTGAATCCACAGTTGTTCAGAAACAACCTTTGAGTAAATTTGGAAAAGGATTCAAAAGAAAGCGGTAGCAAATCTTTTGTATTATATTGTTATTTATTATCTTATTTACCTTATATTATTTGATAGTGGTGGTAATTTGTAAATAAAAGCTGTATGCTCAAGTAAAAAATGAACTGAAGTTCACATTGTACACTAAGAGTTATAGAAGAAATGTGCAAGACTTAAACAAAGTGAAGCTTTGTAATTCCATTGTGACCAATATAAATACATTGAAATTTTGAAAATATCTCTTGCTTCATCATTGTTAATTTTTTCAATAGTAAAAAACAACATATTGTTGTTCACTCTTCAAGTGAACTTTTTATATTTGCCAGCAGTGGTAAAATAAGACAAAAGAAAATAACAATTCAAATGTATTAATAAGACAAGATCTTGATGTATATTTGTTGGATTTATTAAACATAGAGAATAAACATAAACATCAATTTTAAGATCTTTCTAAACATATTTCTTTTCTTCATGTAACACATTTAAATGCTGATACAGTTTCAATAACTTCAAGATATCTCACTAGACTGTTCAAAATAAAGGTTCAATCATCATGACTCATTGATGTAAGATTTTTTCCTGTCTTCAACATTAAAATTTTCATTTTTGTCCCTGTCCTGAACACTTAGTAGTAGTAAATTTACACACAATTAAAGCATACAAATACATATGCTTCCTTGGTTCTCCAGCTTTCGCCGGCTTTCCCACCATAAGTGAACACAAACTGCAATTAAGAGGTTCTAAGCTGGTAGTCTCCATTCTGTGTGATGTACCGTACCCATGGCAGAGCCTGGTAGCCACTCTTCTCTATGATCTTTAAGTAACGGACCTGAAATGTACAAGTCTCATCAATTATGTCAAAATAAAACAGGAAACTTCATGTTCTGCCTTCTGTAAACTTTACACAAAGTATTAAATTATTACAAAAAAATATTTGTGTTTGTTGTTTGTATAGTAATATTAATTTTATATATGATATTGTTTGTAAATTCAAAATCACACAAGGTTATTTTTTACAAACCTGTATGCCAGATACAGTGAAATAAGGGATTTCAAACTTCACACTGATTGGGGGTTTGCCCTCTGAATCTTCAGACTCCACACTGGGAAGGCCAAAATGTGCCCTCATCAAATACTCCTTTCCACCCTGAACAGTAAAAAAATATAAGGATGCTGAGATACAAATCAATAAAATCTAATAAATTGTTCCATTTGCTTGATGTATATACATAGACATTTGAAAAGAGAAAAAGAAAGACAAGAAGAGCCTTAAATGCATTTTTACTCTCTTATAATTAAAATATTCAATAGTAATCTAAATATGTACCGAAGTTTCAGTCTGAAATACACACACAAAAAGTAGACTTACAGGGAATGATTTAATAGTCCAAACTACTGAAGAAGTTTCTGGAACATATTTACAACTGCCAGTGGTTGTCTTAAACTTTGGAGAGTCAGCATCTGCAGGAACTGGGATGATAATCTCCACATTGTTGGCTGTGGATCTCCTCTTGAACTGACTCTTGGCCTATGAAAGATATGGAACACCTGAGCATAACACTTCACAATCTCATATTTTTATAGGACACAACTGTTGATCTCACAATAAAGCTGCTACACTAATGCTTTTTGTTGCCTAGTGCATAATCAAATATCTGAAAGATTTCAACCTCAGCAAATCATGGTACAATTGCTACTTTAGAAAGCACTTCATGTCCACAAGGTTTTTTAATACTAACCTTGATCATGTACTCCACCCTGCTGTGTGCATGTCGCTCTATCACAGACTCCACCCAAATCAATGGTTTCACCTGGAAGAACATGAAATCACCATTTACACTGTACCTCTCATCTTTGTAGTGCATATTTTTGTCAATAAATACAAAATTTAATCTTAAAACAATGCCAGTCACTCATTTAAGTGCATTAAACCTCGATTTTAATGTTCTTCAAAAGCACTCAATACTGGAAATATACATATAGCAGCAACTTACATGTGTGTTGAGTCTGTAGGACATTAACTCAAATTCTCCATCAGGTGGGATAAAACTAATGGTGCGATCATTTTCAAACCTTGACAGTCTGACACACTGGTGAAATTTGACATCTTCCAGCTCAACAGACTTACTTTTACCTCCTGAGAATATAAAAATTCCATTGTATACACCAAGGATTTATCAGGAATATCTTACCCAAAACTAGAAAATAATGCACAAGAAAATGTAGCACTAACTGGAAACATTTTATATGTAATTGATATAATTTATAATTCAAAAAAGTCAAAGGTACTTTTTCATCACTTACTTCCTGTACTTTCAAAGAGCACCTTGTCATTCAGTCCTAGCCTAAGTTCTGGCATCCCAGAAAGGAAAACGCGCATCTTGATTGCACCCACTATTTCACTTCGTAATACATTTCCATTGGCACTCACCTTGTAATGGAATACAATAATGATTAATAATGTAACATTCTCTGAAACTCAAAGAAAACGTAAAAACACTTTTTAAAGGATGGAAACGAAATGAAGCTGCATTATTTTATGCAATAAACAACTGAAGTCAACAAAATTTTATGTTCAGATAAATCAGCAGATGCCTTTTCTTACCAGCAAGTTAACAGACTCTATGACATCAAGGAAAACTTCATTTTTTCTGTATTTGATCCCTTCTGATCTCCAGGACACTGCATTTGTTACTGCCATGGGAGGACGTGGTGCAACCTCCAGCTTATGTCCTTCTTGGGTTAT